TACCTGCAGAGGTGACGAAATTATATTACATGCCGCAAAAGGAAGTTATGCGTGAACAAGCACTGACGACGAAAATGAGAGTGGTGTTTGACGCTTCGTCACATGCCAAAGGATGCAAGTCCCTTAATTACTGCCTTGAAAAGGGTGACAACTTATACCGAGATTTCGTGCAAATTCTGATACGCTTCAGAACACACCCGGTGGCAGTTATCACGGACATAGAAAAGGCATTCCTTCAGATTGCGACTTGGGAGGACGACAGAGACGCTTTCCGCTTTCTCTGGTTTGCAGAAGGAGATTTATCCAAGGGCAAGCTGCAAGAGTGAAGGATGACACGAGTGCCTTTTGGAGCTACATGTAGCCCATTTTTGCTCACAGCTACTATTCTCTGCCACGTGAAAAGAGCACCGGCTGTCATGGCACAAACAGCGCAAACTCTTGCCGAGTCGTTTTACGTGGATGACTTAGTCACTGGTGCCGACACAGAAGAGGAAGCCGCTAAACTATGCCGAGAAGCACGCACAATAATGATATGGGCCGGCATCACATTGCGAAAATGGACAACTAATTCAGCAAATTTGATGCGCATGCTTGAAAATAAAGTGGAATCTACTAATAATGAAATGGTCGTTCTTCACGAAACGTCAGTCAAGGTCCTGGGTTTGGTTTGGAATCCTGCAAAGGACGAATTCAACTTTTCGGTTGAAAATCTACTCCGGTTTTTGACAGCACAGACGGGCACAAAACGATCTGTCTTGCAGTCAGCTTCAAAAATATTTGACCCTTTGGGATTTGTAGGACCATATACTATTTCCATGCGAATATTGTTTCAGAGACTGTGGATACGAGGAATTAGCTGGGATGAAGTACCACCCAATGACCTGCAAAAAGAATGGAATGATTGGGTCATCCAGCTGCCGCAACTGCAAGACCTCGTCATTCCTCGCTATCTGGGTGGCGGAGCAAGGAAGCCCAATGCGCTTGAAGTACATCTTTTCTGCGATGCCAGTCCAGCGGCATACGGAAAGCGATATACGTCGTATCAAGTCCTGAGGAGCCGATACTGTTGATTGCGAAGTCCCGTGTAGCACCCATTAAGGAGACAACGCTGCCGCGTTTGGAGCTGCTGGCTGCCTTAATCGGCTCAAGAATGTTGGCATACGTGAAAAGCGCTTTGAGGAACGTTCAAGTTGACTGCCCGATGTGGACAGATTCCGCCATTGTGTTGTCATGGATAAAAGATGACGTCAAAAAGTGGAAACAGTTTGTAGCCAACAGAGTCAATGAAATTAGGTGCACTACAGATCCATTAAAGTGGAGATACTGTCCTGGAATGGACAACCCGGCTGACCTACTCACACGTGGCGCGGTGCTTGAAAGACTGCTCTGCAGCTGAAAATGGTGGCATGGTCCCGAGGGGCTAACTAAACCGATGTCTGAATGGCCCCTACAGTTCAGTGAACTAGACAAAGCGGAAGCCACCCAAGGTGAAGTTACAACAGTCCACGTCGCACTAATGACACGCTTCTCAGTTCCGATAATTGATATTCAACGGTACAGCAGGCTTCAGCCCCTACTCAGAGTCACTGCGTGGATTTTCAGATTTACTGACCGATGCAGAAAAAGAAGTAATCATACAGGACATCTCGTGGCAACAGAAATCCTGAACGCTGAACAGTATTGGATAAGATGTACACAAGAGCAAGGCTTTCTTGAAGAACTCACCACTTTGACCAACGGCCAACCAGTCGAGTCAACATCTCGAATCGCTGTAATACGCCCTTACATAGACAAAGAAGGAATTCTTCGGGTTGGAGGCCATTTATCTCCCCTGCATTCCACACAAGATGTCAAACACCCAATCATAATGCCGTCAAGCCACCACTTTTCGACACTTTTGGCAAACAGAGCCCATCTTCAAGTCTTACATGGAGGAGTTAGAGATACACTTACGCAGCTTCGGGAACGCTACTGGATTTGTCGAGCTCGCTCTTTAGTAAAAAGAGTGCTGCATGGCTGCAATATATGCAAGCGTTTCAGTGCGGGCCCAGGAAGTGCTGAGACTGCTCCGTTAACAAGTCATCGAGTGTCACCAACGAACCCGTTCGAAGTTGTAGGAGCCGACTTCGTGGGCCTTCTGTATGCAGACACGGAGAAAGGGGATACGAAGTGCTACGTTGCACTTTTTACGTGCGCCGTATCTAGAGCCCTGCATCTTGAGCTTGTCTCGGAAATGACATCCGAGGCTTTCCTGATGTGCCTACGACGATTTGCAGCTCGGAGAGGATTACCTAGGGTGATCTATTCTGACAACGCACGAAGCTTTCACAAGACATCGGCAGATATAAAGCGGCTACACCGAATGTTCTCTGAAGAGGACGTCGCTGGTCACTTCAGAACCAACGGCATTTTGTGGAAGTTTATAGCAACAAATGCTCCTTGGTGGGGTGGATGGTGGGAGCACCTTGTACGATCAATGAGGCTTCCGCTGCGAAAAATTATCGGCAAGGCTCGTCTGAACTACGAAGAAATATCGACAGTGCTGGCGGAGGTCGAAGCGGTCGTAAAACTCTAGGCCTCTTACTTTCATCGAGACAGATGTAGGAGAACCTTGCACTTTGACGCCTGCCGAACTTCTCCTTGGATGAAGGTTGACTTCCATACCGTATGCGACTGCTGACGAAGTCAACAGTAATTCCAAACGATCAGATGCCATACGCAGACACAACTACAGGAAGCTGCTGTTTGAAAGTTTTTGGAAGCGTTGACAAAAAGAATACCTGTTGCAGTTACGATCTGCACACTTTGCTGACGCGAAATGAAATACAGCATTGAAGCAAGGGGACATCGTTCTCGTGCATGCGGACAACACGCCACGCCAGCTATGGAAGCTTGCAAGGGTCACGGAAGTGTACCGCAGTGCAGACAGTCTCATTCGTTCTTGCAAGATCAAGTTGCAAGGCGGTCACCTTGCGATCGGGCCGATACAAAGACTGTACCCACTTGAACTATGTGTTTAACTTTGCATGGCCGGGAATGTTGATTATTTTTCACGTTCTGTGCTGGGACAAGGAAACGAGAAAGAAGAAGAGCGCGAGCGAGGGACGCTCAAGTGACAGCAGAGCGCTTCCGAACGCAGCTAAATAAACAAGTATTTTTTGCCTTATACCTTAAAGACGGAGTTGAGTCTGATCGCAGTGTCTGGAACGCCATCGTCTTAATAACCCGACCGGGTGCCCTTTCTGCGTATGGCGTACTATTTGGTAAAAATCGGACGCCATATACTGGTGCCACTGGCACGTAGTATGAAAACTGTGAGAGCCAGACGAGTGAAGCACCGGCCAAACACCGCTCAGGAAGGAAGAAAGCTTCCCTCTGCAATACTCGTGCCAGACACCTTCGCCATTGCCTTGTGGCCACCACAATAAACGCTAGCGACCAAAGTAGCGTTGGCATCAGCTGCGTCCCTTCCGTTGACATGCCAAACATGACGTCACCTAGACAGTGTTGCCAATAATTCTGGCAAGAGATGTGAGCTTTGGGAGGAAATCTTTCAAATATTTGTAAACAATCAGTGCATCTCTGAAGCCTATAAACTGGTCTAAATGGCGGAAATGTGGAAAGGAACGTACCAAGCAAATTTTATTGAGGTCCATTGACCTCGAAAAAGTGCCCGAGTTGACTTGCAATAATATTGTGGTTATTAGCGGCAGAGCTGGAGGTGCGCCGAGAGATGTTAATCACTGTAAGGCTTCACATTGATTTGAACACACTAAATTAACTCAATCACGAGTGGAAACATTGGTATCAGAGCCTATTCGCTGTTACAAATGCACAGTTTTGCGCAAGGAACAACTTAAATGCTCACTTAGCGTTCATTATCAGCCAACGAATGTAACAGTTTTAGTGGCGTACAGTTACTAATTCTCAAATTTGGGTGCACACTAAAGAACCACAGGTGATCAAAATTTCCGAAGTACTTCACTACCGCGTCTCTTTGGTGGTGCTTCTGGGACGTTTAACCCCACATACCAATCAATCAATCAAACAATCAATCAATCAATCAATCAATTAATTAATCATAATTACACAGTTACACACAAATAGCGCAATAACCATGTTTCCAGCAGCAGACATGCGAACAGTTTAAAAAAACACTTTATTTTCATGCATATCAGGTGTTCATGCACTACAACACTCATAGCTTTACTATTTGCTCTTATTTTAATATTATGGTAGGTTCACGCCTTTTAAAAAAGAAGTGGGAGCGAATGAGTCAATAAATTTCACCAAGGAAATTCGACCGATCTGCAAAGCTCCGTGGAGATTTCACTTCTGTCTGGACTGGGAGATGTCTTGGCGCACTTAGTTTAGAAACAAGTAGTTTTGTATACATTACCAAAAAAAGTAACTAGACAGGTTACTCGCTATGCTAACAATAAATATGCGCGTTCCCATCCTATGTTGCCTACCAGAAAGGCAATGGATTATTGTTATTGAAATAAAAATAACGTACGTCTTCTTCGATTGTACTCCATGATTGATATGCGGAGTTTAACGTTCCAAAACCATCATATGATTATGAAAGATGCCGTAGTAGAGGGCTCCTGAAATTTGGACGACCTGGGGTTCCTCATAAATTATACTCCAAGATCAGAAGTTTGAATCAATGCGCCCGCACTGTGGGAGCCAAAATATCATTTTAATAACCCTCGTATTTATATTTGACATGTCATAAAGCATTCCTTAAACATGGTTCTAGTACCATAATTGACTTTGCTAAGATAAACGTAAACCCAAGTGTTCGTCTCACAAGGCACGAAGAATTAAACGTGGTGTAGAATGGATAGGGCGCAATTAGCAGTGGCTGCAAAAGACGAGGAAAAGGACCGTGATTTGTGCTCGTGATAGCTCCAATTCGGATCGCTGAGCGCTTAACCTGTGTTCGTTTTTTTTAAATAACTGCGTCGTGGACTCAACGCTCAACACGTACTACCTAGTGGTGGAGAGTGCTGGTTCTCTTTTTCAACCTGGAACTGCATAGCCGGACCCTACCTCCGCCATCCATCATGCCTGACGACGTTGCTGCACAGCCGATTGCTGCCACACCCCCCGCTTTCCGCTGCCCCGGCATTCCGAAGGAACGCGACCCAGTTCTATTCAACGGCACTGATGAACAGGACGTCGAGGACTGGCTCGCTTCGTTTGAAAAAGTGACTGTCAACTGCCAGTGGGACGATAACGACAAACTCGATCACGTCCACTTTTACCTGAGGGGCGTCGCGGAGCTTTGGTTGAACAACCACGAGCCTAAGATTACCACCTGGGCCTCTTTCAAAACGACCTTCGCAGACGTATTCGGCTGACCGGCAGTGCGCAAGCTCCGCGCGGAGCAGCGTTTGCGTGATCGTGCCCAGTTGGCAGGAGAAACTTTCACGTCTTACATTGAGGATGTCGTAGGCCTCTGCTGGCGCTTCAATCCGGCCATGTCCGAAGCCGACAAAGTCAAGCATATCATGAAGGGCATCGAGGACAAGGCGTTCCACATGCTTGTGGCGAAAACTCCTCGAACCATCACAAACATCATCCAGCACTGCCAGAGCTACGACGAGTTGCGAAAGCAGTGCATTTCCACGCGACGTCACAGTTGCGACACGACCAGCACATCAGCACTGACCGTTGGCGCGATCTCTCCAGATCCGGTAGTATCGACGCACCAAATACAACAGTTCATCCGTGAAGAGGTTGCCCGCCAATTCTCTATTCCTCCCTTTCTCTCTGGTAATGATCATGGACTCCTCACGTCACTGTGCCAAACCATTGAGGAGCAGGTATCCGAATGCTCTCCGCATACGCACCAGCCACCGCCTTTATCAGCGCCGTTGACCTATGCCGACGTGGCGAGAAGACCTTCACATGCAGTGCCATACAGCACAGGCCCCACTCAACGTCCTCATGTCTTCTACGCACCGCGGGCACCGACAATCCCGCAAGTTCCGCTTTATTGACGTCCTGCCACCCTTCCCAATAATCCTTGGCACACACTGGATAACCGACCAATCTGCTATTACTGTGGTCAACCCGGGAATGTCGAGCGTTTCTGCCGCCGCCGCGTTCCTCGTCCAACTGCCGTTGAAGCCAATTACAGCTACGACCATACAGAGCCGCAACAGCCAATGCCCTCCCACGCTCCTTCAAACACCTCATCGTCGAACCGCCGCACCTCCCACTCGTCTCGATCACCCTCCCAGCACCGGCGCTCGCTATCGCCAATGGTTCGACGCACCGCGCCCGTCCACACGGAAAACTGACCACCGCAGTTCCCGAGGCAAGAACTGCGCCACTGTCGAAATCTACAAGGCCTCGTTCCCAACTTGCAAACGAAATCCCAATCTTCATTGAAGGTGTTGCCGTGTCCGCTTAAGTCGATAGTGGAGCTGCTGTGACCGTGTTAAGCGAAGCAATGTGCCGCAAGTTGAAAAAGATTACGACTCCGCTTTCTGGTGTTTATCTTGGTACGGCGACCGCACATCACATACAACCTTCCGTCACGTGCACAACTCGTCTACTCATTCAGGACATTTTGTATGTGGTTGAATGCATCGTCTTTCCGCACTGCTCGCATGACATTATATTGAGTTGGGACTTTCCGTGCGTCATGCCGTTGTCAATTGTGTCCGTGCCGAGGTTGAATTATCACCAATCTCGGACATCGCTCCTGCCAAGACATCTTTTTCTCGTGTCGTCATCGCCGAGGACACGCACATCCCAACTATGTCGTCTGCTATTGTGCCAATCTCGTGCGATTATGCTTTCTATACCGCCTTGTTTACGCCGTCAGCGAAATTCACTTCCCGTAAGCACTTTCTTCCCCCATTTGCTCTTATCACGATCGAAAACTCCTCCGCAATCATTTATGTCACGAACCTGCTTTTGGTCTCAACCACTACGTTCCGCGGAGAATCTATAGGGCAACTTGAGGACATTGATTCAGTCTGCCCTAACTTGCTACCTGGGCGCACAGCAAGCCTCATTGTCGCGAGCGTTAATCTCGATACCACGGCCAACATATCTACCCCAAATGCCTTCCTTCCATCCATTGCTTCAGACCTTCCCAGCGTTCAGCGCACGCGACTCTTGAAGCTTTTCGGCCGTTTTCGGATGTATTTCGATTACAAGCAACCCAGTTTGGGCAGAACAACTTCAATCGGACGCTGGCGCAGGAGTGCATGGCTGCACTCCTGCGCCAGCGTCCGTACCGCGTCTCTCAAGCTGAACGTCGAGTTATTGAAGACCATGTGACTGACATGCTTAGTCGGGGAGTCATACAGCCATCCAACAGTCCCTAGGCATCCCCGGTGGTGCTCGTGAAAAAGAAGGACGGTAGCATCCACTTCTGTATTGATTATAGGCGCCTTAGCAAGATCATGCGCAAAGATGTCTATCCGCTCCCCAGAATTGATGACGCGCTCGACTGTTTACAAGGAGGAGTTTTTCTCTTCGCTGGATTTGCGGTCGTGATACTGGCAGGTACCTATGAATGAAGGCGACTGCCCCAAAACTGCGTTCGTAACTCCTGACGGCTTGTGCGAGTTCAACGTGATGCCGTTCGGCCTTTGCAATGCCCCGGCCACATTCGAGCGCCTTATGGACAACATACCTCGAGGTATCAAGTGGCATACGTGACTTTGCTATCTGAACGACGTCATGGTTTTTTCGAAAGACTTCGATACCCATCTCCAGCACCTCGCAAGTGTCCTGGAATGCCTCACACAGGCTGGGCTACAACTAAGTTTGAAGAAATGTCACTTCGCCGCACGGAAGCTCGCGATCTTGGGGCACGTTGTCAGCAAGAACGGCGTTCTATCAGACCCAGACAAACTCCGCGCCGTAACTGAGCTTCCTAAGCCGTCGACACTCAAAGAACTCCGGTACTTTATAGGGCTATGCTCGTATTTTCGATGATTTATTCGTAATTTCGCATCTATAATGATCCCTTTAACACGTTTACTTGCTGACAGCCAAGGTACCTTGGCATTGGTCGTCCACCTGTGACGACGCATTTGCGAAATTACGTCATCTTCCGACATCACCGCCGATTCTCCATCACTTCGACCCAGACGCCCCTACCGAAATCCACATGGACGCTAGTGGAGTCGGCCTTGGCGCTATCCTTGCGCAGCGAAAGTTTGGCTTCGATGAGTACGTCGTTTCTTACGCGAGTCGCACTCTGACCAGAGCTGAAGAAAATTATGCAGTCACAGAGAAAGAATGTCTTGCCATCATTTGGGCAATCGCTAAATTTAGACCTTACATATATGATCAGACATTTGACGTCGTGACTGACCATCACGCCCTCTGTTGGTTGTCGTGTCTAAAGGACCCATCTGGTCACCTAGCCCGTTGGGCATTACGACTCCAAGACTACGACATCCGCGTCATCTACAAGTCAGGGCGCAGATTGTCAGACGCCGACGCTCTCTTTCGATCTCTGCTTCCCCAGTGACTGGGCAAATGAGCCTGTTTCTACCTACGATACTGCCTCCCTCACACACGCTGACATGCCATCCGAGCAGCGTGAAGACCCTTGGATAGTGTCTTTCATAGAGTTCCTATCGAATCCATCATCGAGTACCGCCAGTCACTCGCTGCGGCGCACAGCTCACTCGCCATTTCACCATGCTCGATGGGCTACTTTGCCGCCGCAGTTACCTCAGTGAAGGTCGTAAGTGGTTGTTGGTGATTCCTCGCCATCTACGTGCTGATATTTGCGCCTTGTTTCATGCGGACCCCCAATGCGGCCACGATGGTGTAATAAAGACGTATGCATGCCTCCGGCTGTGGTACTTCTGGCGTGGAATGTACCGATTTGTCGGCCAATACGTGCGTTCATGCTCAAAATGTCAACGCCGCAAGAGTTCACCGCATGCCGTCACTGGACCGCTTCAGCTGTTGCCCTGCCCATTCCGACCTTTCGACCGCATCGGAATTGACTTATACTGCCCACTTCCATACACACCAGACGGGAATCGCTAGGTGGTTGTCGCTATTGATTATTTGACACGGTATTCTGAGACTGCCGCGCTGCCAGAGGCTACATCACGTGAAGTCGGCTTATTTAATCTTCAAAAACTTTTTCTTCGCCACGGCGCTCCTCGTGAGTTACTCAGCGACCGCGGACACACGTTCCTCTCAGAAACGTACAAGACCTCCTGCGTGAATGCAATGTTGTTCATCAAACGACCAGTGTGTACCATCCCCAAACCAATAGCATGACTGAACGCTTCAATCGCACATTAGGCGACATGCTGTCTATGTATGTATCTGCTGATCACACCAACTGGGACCACATACTACCACTTGTCACCTATGCGTACAACAGCGCCACTCAGTGCACGACTGGATTTTCTCCCTTCTTTCTTCTATATGGCCTTGAACCCTCCTGATTTATGGATACCATTCTGTTGTATCGCCCGGATACTTCAGAGTCTGCAACTCTCTCAGAAGCCGCCACCTATGCGGAAGAATGCAAGCAGCTAGCACGTTCGTTAACTACCCAAGACCAAGCACACCAAAAGAACTGCCATGACGCCAACCTGCATCGCCAGTCATAATTGCCTGGAACGTTGGTGTGGCTTCGCGTTGCCTACTCAGCTCCAGGCTTTTCTTCAAAACTGCTCCCTAAGTGTGAAGGCCCGTACCGCATCCTGCGTCAAGCATCCCCGGTAAACTATATTGTCGAGCCCGTACAGTCATCCACAGACCGCCACCGTCGCGGCCGTGACACTGTTCACGTCGACCGACTGAAGCGGCACTATGACCCACCAGTCGTACCTGTGCGTTAGGTCGCCAGGATGGCTCCTTTTCCGCGGGGGAGAGATTTGTAGAATGAATAGGGCGCAATTAGCAGTGTCTGCAAAAGACGAGGAAGAGGACCGTGGTTCGTGCTCGTGATAGCTCCGATTTGGATCGCTGTGCGCTTGACCTGTGTTCGTTTCTTTAATAAACGCGTTGTGGACTCAACGCTCAACGAGTACCACCAGTGGTGTTTACCTATTCCTAGAACCGTTTAGGATGAACATTGTCCTACAGGCTACCTTACCTATTAGCCACCTTAAACCACGAAGACATTGAAACTTTGCCCTTCCTTCTGCCATTGAGAACTTCCTATGATTCGATTCAAATCTTGCAAGAAACGTCACTACAGTTGACTGTCTTGTGCATTTTTTAATAATTCTTGTTACTGTATTGTATCTTTTACTGTGCTGGCTCTGTGCACCAGTGTATAGGTTTTATCCTGATGATACGTGACATTTCATTAAAATACGTTGTGTAATTAGTGATTTACGATTAATACCTAAATGGG